CAGGCTGGCCTTAAACTCACTGAGGTGATCCTCCTGCCTCAGCCTCCCAAGTGCTGGGATTACAGGTATGCACCACTTAGCCCAGCTCAGAAACCATTTTTAGAGATGACAGCATAAGCCCCGAAAGGTCAAAGGTGCTGTCCAAAGCCACTAACTTTAGCAGGTAGCTGTGGTGGATTGCTGTCCCTCCCTAGGGGTAGGGGCAGGTTACACTTTCCTGCCCTGTCATATGAGGATTTGGCATGGATGTGCTTTTTGCCCAGTGATATGTGGGCAGAAATAGCACATGTCACCTTTAAGTCAGGTTATGATTTTCCATATTTCTTTTGTCTTAGTGCAAGAGAGAAAAATATCCCAGTAGATTGCAGATGGTGGCTGGATTCCAGTGGCATGGAGCAGGTTACAGCTGCTCACTCGGGCTGTCACAGGAGTAAGAAATGCACCATTGGCACGGAAAGCCACCGGGGTGTCAGCCTGGCTGCTTAGATTAGCACAGCCTACACCAACTGCACGGTGGTGGAACCCAGCTGAATCCCAGACTCCTGAAAGTGCTTCCTGCCACACTCATCCCATCTGTTCCAGAGAAATCACCCGATTTGTTCTCTCCTCCCTGGCTTCCTCATCCTGCTCCTGCTCTCTGGAATTTCTTTGAAACCCCACACATCTCCCAAAGCCAGGCTTGGAATCCACATCCTTTGAGATCTTACTCAGATCTGTGATGGCCCCGAGCGTGTACTCGGTGCCTGCTGCATGCCAGATACAGTTCTGACACTCGTTTGATGCAGTTCATCTTCACCCTAGGAGCAGAGCCCTGTGACCTTGCCGGGGCAGGTGAAGAGGGAGAATAACTTACGCATCCACAGTCACACAGCTGTAATTGGCAGGGCCAGGACTCCAGCCCTGCATCTTTCCAGTGCACTCCGGCTACGTTTCTGCACTGTCTTCTGCCCTCCTCACATACAAAGCCGCTTCTTTTGCTGACTGATCAGTTTTTGTTCTGGGTTTTGAGTATAAATTCTGCGATTTATTGGTAGTATGACCTGGAGGCCAGTCGAGTCTCACTTTCCTTTTCAGCTCCCTGGAAGTTGCCCAGCAATTGCTAACTGACTGAACTCTGAGCCTTGGTTTGGCCATTTGTCGAATGAGATCACTATGTACCTCCTTCGTAGGGTTTTGTGGAGTCTGAATGAGCCTGGCACGAGGCATGACGCAGGGGCAAGAATTCAGTACAACTCACTGTTACTGTTCTTATCCGCCATAAGAGAGAGAAATGTTATATATAATACACAGAGAGAAATGGTGTGCTTCTCACTGTGGAGATTTGGACAGCTAGCTTCATGGCAGCAGGGACTTGTGTGAACTTTGCAGAGCAATCTGGCCAGAAACAGAAAGGAGATCATCCAGGAAGACTGGCGCACGAGGTGAGGTAAAGGGAAGACAGGCAAAGGCGCGGCATGGCCAAAGGCTGAGTTGGTCTAAATCTCAGCACCTCATTGCCCTGCCCCCTGCTGTACCAATTTAAGGTTAGAGCTAAAGAAAGAATCCTACCTGTAGAAACATTTATGCACAAAGCTGTCTTGTTTATGACAGTGAGAATGTGGAAACTACCATTGTGTTCAACAGTAGGGAAATAGTTAAATAAATGATCTCCTGCCGGGCATGGTGGCGCACGCCTGTAATCCCAGCACTTGGGAGGCTGAGGCAGGAGGAGCACTTTGAGTTTGAGATCAGCCTGGGCTACATAGTGAGCCCTGTCTCAAAAAAAACAAAACCAAACCCCAAAATAAATAAATAAATGAATGATCTATCCTTCTGATATATTTTTATCTATTATAATTACAAATATAAGAAGCATGTAATAAGGGAAATGTTTCCAAGGGAATGATGTTAGTGAAAAGCATGAGAGGAAATGATAATTGTTATAGTTACAGATACATTAAAAACAGATTACTTGACCTAAAATAATACACAGGGAGTCTAGGAGGAAATGTACTGAAATGTATGGCTTTGGAACAGTGGGCTTGAGACATTGACGTTTTTTCCTTATACTAATCACTATTTTATTATTATAGCTAACCATTATTGAATTCTCACTGTGTATGAGGAACTGTACTATTTTAAACATACTACCGAGGGGCTGGGGATTTAGCTCAGTGGTGCTTCTGCCTGCCTTGCAAGCACAAGGACCCAAGTTCAATCCCTAGTACCAAAAAAACCACAAAAACATACTACCAATATCCATAGAACCCTACAAGGAAGGTTTTTTTATTATCTCATTGCAAATAGGGAACTAATACTTGCCTATTCACACAATAGCATATTTTACTTTTATAGTAGGAAAATATATTTAATATTTTACTATTAAAAGATAAGAGATTCAGGTCCTCCTTTTTGTAAGTGGTATAGTAATAGATATTACTGTACATATTTCCTTATGTATTAGTACTTACTTCCGTGAATTGATTTTGGGGTTGAAATGTATATATTACCTTTTTGTCAGGCGTGGTGGCACACGCCTGTAATCCCAGTACTCGAGAGGCTGAGGCAGGAGAATTGCCATGAGTTCGATGCCAGCCTGGACTACATAGTGAGTTCAAGACCAACTTGCAGCCTGAACTGTATAGCAAGACCCTGTCTCAAGAAAGAAAGAAGGAAAGAATGAAGGAAAGAAAGAAAGGAAGGAAGGAAGGAAGGAAGGAAGGAAGGAAGGAAGGAAAGAGAAAGAAAGAAAGAAAGAAAGAAAGAAAGAAAGAAAGAAAGAAAGAAAGAAAGAAAGAAAAAGAGCGAGCCTTTTTTAAAAACTAATTTTAGCTTTGCGCAGTGGCAGTATCGTAGCCAATGAGGTTTATCCGAGGCGCGATTATTGCTAATTGAAAAACTAATTTTACATAGTGAGTTCAGGACCAACTTGCGGCCTGAACTGTATAGCAAGACCCTGTCTCAAGAAAGGAAGGAGGGAAGGAAGGAAAGAAAGAAACAGAAAGAAAGAAAAAAAATAGTACCCAGATTGTTTGACAATAAAGAGGGATAAGATACTGATCCATACTAGAACTTGAGTGAGCCCTGAACAGTATGCAAAGTGAAAGGAAGCCAGTCCCAAAAGGCCGCATCCTGTCTCATTCCATGTATATGAAATGTTCAATATAGGTAAACCCCTAAAACAGAAAGTAGACTGGTTTCTGCCAGGGCCTGGGGAAAGTAGGAATGAGGAGTGGCTGTTTCTAATGGTTCTAAATCTCTTCTTCAAGTGATAAAACTGCTCTGAGATTAGATAGTGGTGATAGCACAACTCCGTGAATATAGTAAAACCACTGAATTGTGTAATTTAATAGGGTGAATTTTATGGTACGTGAATTATATCCCAATAAAGCTGAAGGCGGAAGAGAAAGCCGAATTTCTGCATATCCTCCCTTAAGGCTCTAATGTCCTCACCTGGAAAACCATTGGGTAAACAATGACGTTATGGAATATTCAAAGCACAGAAGAGTACGTGCGGTATGGTTCTTTTTTTAAGAAGTGTGTAGAAGAAGTGAAAAGCCTTTATATGTTTCCTTGTGTGTGCAGTAGCACACATGAAGTCGTAGAAATAGGCTAGTGAACTTAATACTGGTTAGTGGTAGAATTAAGAGGAGATTATACAATTTTTGTAACCCCCGGTTTAGTTTATATTAGTATAAAAAGCCATATAAGCTTTTTGGCTCTTGAGGATTGAATCCAGGGCCATACTCAGGCTAGGTAACTGCTCTACTATGTTTTTTATTTTGAGACAAGTCTTGCTATGTTGCCCAGGTTGGCCTTGAGTTTGAGATCCTCCTGCCTGTATCTGGGAATATAGGCATGTACCACTATACCCAGGGATGTGTAATTTGTGTGACTCCTCACAATTAAAAAAAAAATGAAGGAAAAAATAAGGGATTCTGCCTTGGGTGATTCTCCTGGCTAGGCAGTTATTTCTAGGTTTGTATGTTTGCTTATTTGTTTGGCCAAGGTCTCATTATGTAGTTCAATCTGGCCTTGAACTCAATACATAGCCCAGACTGGCCTGAAACTCTCAGTGATCCTCCTGCCTCAGCCTCCTGAGTGCTGGGATCACAGGTGTGCACCACTGCAAATTATTTCTGGTTCTCAAAGCAGCCAGATATGTGTGAAGATCCCACACAGAGGGACCCTGCCCCATCTGCCCCACGGAGAGTTGGAACATGAACTAAAGTTCTGGAGTTGGAGTGGTGCTTATGACCGCAGCTTCTGGATTGGGCAAAGCTGCAGTTGAACCCTAGCTTTCCACCACCGAGGAGTGGGACCTGAGAGACACTTACAAAACTGCCCTCTGCCTCACTTTCCTTAGAAAATCCCTTTCACTGAGCTACCCTTAGGATGGAATGAGACCGCATGTGTGGGGTGCTTAACACCGTGCCTGGATATCCCGCCCCATGAAAGACAGCCATTATTACTAGTAGTAGGCTCGATAGTAGTCATTTCTTAGTTTTTTGTGTGGTATGGGGAATGGTGGTTATAAAACCATAGGAAAAGGAAAGGGGATGGGTGACCAAAACTTAGCCTTACTATCATTCTAGATGCATGCCTATTATACTCAGCTAAAATAAAAGACATTAATTCCCAGCCTCCCTTGCCACTAGGGGCAGGGAAGTCTTGGGTAGGACTTCCTTTTGGAAAGTTGTCCTTTTTGTCTTCCTTTCCCTCCTCATCCTGCTGAGTGGGTACCACAGTTGTTGGTCAGCGTCCCCTATCAGCAGCCTAGCACCTTGCAGCCAGGCCCTCAAGATGGTGAAACAGAGCACAGGAGTCAGCATGCCAGCCCTGGGTTGTCCTCCTCTGGACGCCTATACAAGACAGGCATAAGACTCTACCCTGGCTTTTCTGTAAAATGAAGATGCACCCGCACATGATTGGCACCACACAACTAACCCAAAGCCAAAGATCATGGCCAAGACGAGGGGCGAGCTGGCAGGGGCTGGCTGCTGCCTTCCCTGGGCACTTACTCGTCTCCGATGTGCAGCCGGGGCCAGACCTCGTTGACGTGGGTATACTGGGGGCTGCCCTTCCAGAAGAGCCGCTCCAGCTCGAAGGCGCCAGGCGTGCAGTAGTCCTCGGCCTCCGCCTCCGCCTCCTGTGCCCGCGAGGACAGCCCCTTGGCAGGCAAGTAGGCATTCTCAAGGCTTGTCTTCGTGTCTCCAGATGTCATTCTGGAGCCAAGGGATTTGCTCTCCTTTCTGTAGCTGGTCACGAGAGAGGGTCCAGAGGAGGGTTAGCGGGGACACCAGGGTAGGGACAGGTGCTACAGGAACAGTGGGAAGAGGCCAAACTTGCTGGGCCAGCACGTGCCCAGCCTGCCGTGTTCTTGCACACATCCAGGCAACAGGGAAGTGGGGGCAGGCACAGTGGCAGTTAAACCACCCTCCCCAACATTCCAGTGTTTCCAGAGCCGGAAGCACTGAGGGCTGAGGTGGATTTGCATGCAGCAGACTCCAGATGGGATTGGCCCCAAAAACTCTTCCCAGTGTCTGGTCACTTCCCACCTTTCTGTTAGACTTTACCCCTCTGGTGCCTCCTTTTTCCTTTACGGACTGGATCCTGCTAGTTTGGACCATTTTAACCCAAGTCCAAAGCCCCAGGAGATCCCTGACACTGCAGTCCTGTGGCCCTCTTGACCTCTACGGAGCTGTTGGCTAACAGGAAGGTGGTGGCTGCATCCAGATCAGACCTGATCGGGGTCTCCACTGCCACACACAGAGGTGGTGCCGAGAAGCCTGGACACAGGGGGAGCTGGTTTGTGTGGAGAGCCTGACACAGGGTTGGCCAGCTGGTTGGGACATTTGCGGCTGTCACACTAGGAGGCTGGTCACTGCTGCCTTAATTTCTCAGCGCGGAGAAGCCATGTCTGCACGGTGGAAGGGGTATTGACTGGGACAGCACGGCAGGCTCCACTGGTGGAATGTGAACAAGTTCCTGTTGTCCCCAAGGAAATGAAGTCCGTGTGGGGTCGGGCAGCATGTGTTTCCAGAGCTGAGTACATGATCACCTCCAGTCCACAGCCCAGGGTGGGGAGTTGTACTCTGTTCTGAGATTGGAGGGCAGGAGACGGGGTGACTGAGAAGCAGAGAGATGCATGGGGGGTGAGGATATCATTAATTTGACAGACACAGCCAGCCTTCCACTTCTACTGAGGATGAAAATAATCCAAAAAGAAGAATTGCACCTGTTCTAAGTATATACAGACTTTTCCTGCTGGGGATTTAGCTCAGTGGTTTCGCCACCTGCTTCGCAAGCACAAGGGCCCAAGTTCGATCCCCAAAAAACCAAAACAAAACAGACTTTTCCTTGACATATCTTGTAAACAATACAATATACATCTGTTTACATCAAATATACATTGCATTAGGTTTTGGAAGGACCTTGGGCTTCATTTGAACTATGTAGGAGTATATGCATAGCTTATACCCAGATCGTGCAACCTTCTGGATCAGGGTACCCTGGGGGCTCCTGGAGCCCATCCCCTGTGGTACTGAGGGAGGACTGTACTGAAAAATTATTTTGTGTGGTCACTGTCTTGTTCCAGGCTCTATGATTATAAATGCATTTAATCTTAACAGCTCTCTGGGGTAGGCGGTATTATTAACCTCATCTTACAGATGAGTCAAACCATGCGGTGAAGGTGTTTGTAGCCACAGCCCTTACCAGCGGAGAGGGCGGGGAACGGAGAACACAGTAAGAGCGGCCTGTCTGGCCAGGGATCAGAAAGGGAGAGGGCTGGGAGCTTCTGAGACTGTTAGGATCAAAGGCCACTCAGAATGCTGCTTGAAAAGGCTCCCACTTATCAAAAACAGACCATGTGAACATGAATAATGAAAATAACTCTGGTGCATTGAAATACATTATATGTGGAAATGGTAAGGGACTGAATTATTCACTGTTGGAAGGTGCTAAAGAAGCAGCACCTTATCTAGGAGTTGGGTAAATGGAATCTAGCATGTATTGTTCCTTTCAGACACAAACTGTACTACTGGGTGGATGAGGGAAATTTTGTCAGTGATAAAGTATTCCAGATAATAAGGGAGGGTGCACCATTTCACAACATCCAGTGAGCTTCTGGATCCAGGCACCCAGTGCTGACTGCTAATGATGTAAGAATAAAGAGACGAAGCTGGGTGTGGTGACACACCCGTGATACCCGCACCTGGAGGGCTGAGACAGGAGGACTGCTGCAAGTTCAAGGCCAGCCTGAGCTACAGAGCAGGATCTTGTCCCTCCACCCCCCAAAAGAAAGAGGGATGATCAGACATCATTTGCCTCCTGATAGAAGAACACACCACCAACTAGAGAAGTTTTGCTTTAGCAGAGTCCCCTGGGTCAAGATATGATAGGAGGGCTGGGGGTATAGCTCAGTGACACTGCACCTGCCTGGCAAGCACAAGGTCCTGAGTTCAATCCCTGGTACCAAAAAAAAAACAAAAAAAAACAAAAGGAAATTTGCGGGAGATTGTGAAGAGAATCAAATTATACCACAGGGCCTTATCTTTAAAAATATACACAGAAATACAAATATGCAACAGCACAGAGCCGGGGGTTGGGGTTGAATGCTAGTTGCAGGTAGTTACTGTTCTGCTTTTTGTATGTTTGGAATTCTCTGTAATAAAAATACACACACAGGCTGGGAATAATGGCAAGCTTCTGTTGTCCTAGGTACTTGGTTTTCATTTTGTTTGTTTTTGGTGCCGGGGATTGAACTCGGGACCTTACGTTTGTGAGGCAGGTGGCAGAACCACTGAGCTAAATTCCCGGCCTCTGTCACAGGTACTTGGGAGGCTGGGGCTGAGGCAGGAGGATCACTTAGTCTAACACTAAGTATTTGCCCGAGATGTGGCCAAAGAGCCAGGGAGCTTCTGAGAAGAGGAGGGTAGTAAGGGGCCTTCCATCTTCCCTTTGAGATGGGGCCAGAACTTGGCTCCAGATGGAGAGATGAGAGGAGAGAGGGCAGGATGACCCTGCCCCAGGACTCCTTGGTGCCTTTTATCTCTGTAGCTTCAGTGTCTGGAACACAGGACATGCTAGGGAACCATTTGCTTGTGTGTGTGTGTGTGTGTGTGTGTGTGCGCGCGCGCATGCATGCGCGCTTTTGAGACAAGGTCTCACTATGTCAAACTGACCTTGAACTCACTATGTAGCCCAGGCTGGCCTCAAAAACTTGCATCAGTCCTGCCTCAGTTTCCTAAGTGTTGGGGTTGTAGGCGTTGGGCCACACTTGGCCAGTTGAATGAGGGAATGGCTTTGTGAACGGATGGACTGAGGCAGGAATGAATGAATGAATGGGTAAGGAGATGAGTGATGAAGGCCTGTGAGGCCTTGTAGGGGACTCGAGCAGGGCTAACCTGGAAGTGCAGGGAGCGAGCCGGCCCTGTGCCCCCTCCCACCCATGTCCTCGGCCCAAGGGGTGGCCGAGGTTTCTCCTGCAGGAACAAGTGCAGACCCCCGGTCGCCTAAACACACAGTGACAGCTTTCCTTGCTCCAGGCCCACTGGGGGCCCTAACTCTGAAGTTCAGCCCTTGACCGGCACCCACTCTTGTTTTGAAGTGAGAAGCTGGCTGCACATGCAGAAATTTGGTGATTTGGGCTCTTTTGGACCTGCCTTCCTCTAGAGAAGAGGTGATTTTGGGGTGATGCTGGAATGCACTGTCACTGCATGCTGAGCCTCTGTCCGCCGCCCTTTGCTCTCTGGGGCCCACCTCACCCTTGGTGGGGCTGTGCCTCCTCCATCAGACTGCAGAGAACCCTCCCAGCTCCACCCCCGTGTTGAAAGAGCCCGGCTGCATTTCCAGACAGAAGCGGAAGCACACGGCCCGCCCTGAGCAGCTTGGCGCGCACAGGGGCTCTGGGATCCATTATCCTCCAGCGCCCCGTGATGGGAAAGAACAAAGCAAGGAGCCGTCCAGAAACCGCAGACCTGTAATCTTTCCAAATCCTCTGGGCGGCTGTGTGCATCCCTCGCTGCATGGCTCCCAGATACCTCATTCGCATAGAGGCCAAGGGAGTCCGTTTCCCAGATCACAGCCAAAATGGCAGGGAAGACAAATCTGTTCTGTTTGGTTTCCATAGATCCCACCCTGCGGTTAGTTGCCAAGGTATCCATGACACACGAGTATCAATCACAGGCTAAATGTCATAATGAAGGCCGGGCAAGCCGTCAAGAGTGGCTCCAGGTTCCAGTTACAGCTGCGTATTTAAAGATTTGATCCCAGGAAATCAAATGCCAACTCTGAAGGCTGCTTGGCCTCCGTGATTGTCCTCATCAAAGGATGGCCAAGCCAGGATCCTTCACGGGGACTGGCAGACGACACAGCCCAGGGAAACCAACAATAGCCTGGCTGTTGGCCTGAAGTAGGAGACATAAGGGAGAGGTGGGGACAGTGGTGCAATAAAAGGCAGACACCTCGCCGATGGGGCTGCTGATGGACTCTGTGTGGGAGCGAAAGCCCAGGTTTCCGATACGTTTGTGAGAAGCCAGAAAGCCAGATACCTGTAAGAAACTCATTAATATTTGAATGTGGGCAGCAGGGACAGGTGCTGTTCCTGCCTTGCCCCTTTCCTTGCTCAAGTCACTGTAGCACTGGTAGACAGTGCCCTTTTACAAGAGGAGAGAAAATACACAGTGAATGTTTAAATTTCGAATTCATTACAGTAAAAGACACACTGATATTCATCCCTCTCGAAATACTCTCCCTCGATTTGTCACCCCACTGTTCTTGCCACTTTCTGAGGCAGTTCTGGAGGTTGTCTTTCGCGAGTGTCTTTACCTGATCAAAAATACGGTGAATGCCGCTGCCAAATGCCATCTAATGGAGAGGCAGGCTCGTAAACACATCACAGTGTGTCCTCACCCACTTTTTCACTGCGTCTGGCACCACACGACTGCTGGCTCGTCCCCAGAGTCAGTGACCAAGGGAACACGTCTACCTTCTGAGGTGGTGGATAGAAGCACAGGTGAAGAATTGTATAATTCATTGGGGTGGGAAAATTAAATCTCTTCGGAGGAGACTGCAGAGACTGGCTGAGGAACCAGTAAGCTTTCTGTCATTTTTACGATCCACAGTACACAGTACACCATTTGAGGATCTTTTTGACAGGAAGAAAGTCCTGCAGCATGGCCTAGAAAGTGGTGGAATGCATCAAACAGAACCAAAATGCTCTGTATAGTAAAGCAAGGACGTCTTGAGTTTTCTAGAACATTCTAGAAGGGAGGGACATGAGAAGGCCCCTTAGGAGAAGGGGAAGTGTGGAACCAGAGACCCCAGGTAAGACATTTCCAGGTAACAGCGGCTCTGAGCTTCTGAGGAGGGATTCCCAGTGTCTGCTGCACTTTATGGTTACACTCGGTGTCCGACAAAGCCATTTCTTAATACATAACAAGCTTCTTTGTAGTGGGTTTTTTGTTTTTGCTTTGTTTTGGTTTTTTTGTGGTGGTTTTAAGAAAGCAAAGAAAAAGTCTTGTTCCTCAAAGGGAAGAGACTAGACGTTTACAAAGCAGCATATGCAAAACTAATTGTCACCAAAATCTTTTTGATTTTTTTGAGACAGTGTCTTGCTGTGTACTTCAGATTGTCCTTGAACTCACTGTGTAGCCTAGGCAGGCCTCAAACTCATTACAATTCTCCTGCCTCAGCCTCTCAAGTGCTGGGATTAGAGGCATGTGCCACCACCAGGTGTCACCAAAATATCACTATGTACTTATCTGGGGTCAATGGAATTATGTGACTTTTGTTTTCTTCTTTTTAAATAACCATCTTTTCTAAATCTATCTCATAAATATGTGTTACTTCAGCATATGGAGGAAAAAGAATCAAAGCCCTATGGAAGTGCTATTTTAGAACTGTTCTCTAGGGAGATGCTCACCCTTCACCTGTGGACTGAGCCAAGGAGGTGGCCCTCAGGCGGCCTGACAGTGTCCTTCACTGTCTCTAGACACTGCCTGCCTTCTGCTCAGTGGGGCCCCCAAGGACGGGTCTATGTCCTGGAGGTCACGCAAGCCCCTCATGATTCCTGAGAAACCAGGGGAATCTCAGCTGGATAGAGTCCCCACCTTACACAATTTCTTAAGAAAAAGAAAACAAGTACAGGACCCCAGAAGAGGCTAGTGAAAGCGTGGGGTGCTGGGGCTTCAGTGAGACTCCAGCTCTGAGAGAAAAACGTCTTTCCCCTCTGATCTGAGATGCAGAATTTGGGCCCCAACCCCACCCCACCCCAGTGACGCTGCCAATTGCTCCTTAGCCTGGCCTTAGCTTAGTCTCTGTGAGCTGCAGCAGGGTGCTGGGAGGCCGTGAGCAGGGATGGAAAAGCAGCACCATTTTCTCCTTGACCCAGCCTCCCAAGACAGCCCTGGCCTCGTCCCCAGAGCATTATTCCTGTGTCCCCATGTTTGCACATGAGCTGAGTGAGCTAAGCTCACGGGAGAGGGTTGGGCAGGGGTGGGCTGGGCCGGGCCAGAGAGATCTCTGACATCTAGAAATTTTGAGTATAGTAGAAAAGTTTATATTCTAATCTTTTTTATAAAACAGCTCTGCCTTTCCTTGTAAGGTAGCTTGTATTTGTACATGTTCATATTCCTAGTGCTTTGGAATCATGGGAGAAGTTAGTTTGAGCTTGAATACATGCACACATCCGGGCATGTTGGAGCCACTTGTGGTCCTAGCTACTCAGAAGGCTGAGGGAGAACACCAAGTTCAAGGCCAGCTTGGGCAACTTATCAAGACCGTCTTAAATTAAAATGAAAAAGGCCTGGGATGCAGCTCTGTGCAAAGACCCTGGGTTCAATCCCCAGGGCCACAGTGAATGAATGAATGCACGCATTTCTTTCATGACATTGCCCATGTTGAGCCTGGAATGTGCTTTGCAAGAATGGGGAGGGTGGAAACCTTACTGTGGTTGGGAGAATGACAATTAGTACAGTGAAACCAGCTGGGGTCTCAGGGCACGCTGTGGGGGTTGGCAGCTGTGCATGCATATAAATATGTGCACATTTTAATTTGCTACAAGTCAGTGCTTGTCTTTATGCATTTGAAATCTGCCAAAATGATCCCAGCTAGAAAATAAAATTTATAGATTTTTTTTTCAAAAATTATTTTTGAAAACTCAAGAATTTTTTTGTTGCCTATAATTTAATTCTTAATGCAGCAGACGTAATCCATACTTAATCATTTTTCCTTTCTTTCGGGTTCTGGCAAGTATGTTAACAGGAGGCAATTATGGGAATTAATATAAAATCCTTTTTATTAAAAAAACAGAAAAGCCTTCATCTGAGAGGAAATTGAATATTCCCTCCTCAATGGTGTCGATGTCATGAACTCGTTTGATTAATTCCTCAATGGTTTCAGAGCGCTCAGGGTGGTAATTTCTGAACTGCTAATTGATTTCCCCAGTCTTGGTTTGGCAGAGGGGGCCTCCTGGAAAGCGGGGAGCTGGAGGCCTACACCCCCTTCCTTCTCCAACAAGGGGTGAACATCAGCCAGGGATGAGGAGGGGGCTGGGGTGAGGAACACAAGGGCCGTGACACCTGGCCGGGCCGGTTGCGGGTCCCGACCCCGGAGCGGCTAGGCCTCTTCTTCCTCTGGAGTTGTGAGGAGACCCTGCAGCCTGCTTTGCAGCAAGAACCGCTTCCCACCCAGTGTCCCCTCGGAACAAGCTTTCCTTGTCTGGGGAAGCTGGAGAGGTTTCAGACTGTGTGGGCTGCGGCCCTCACTGCGGGCCCCTCCATTCCTGGAGGAAAGGCCGCCTTTCCTCAGGGGCCTGGCTCGAGGATGCCAGGCAGGGGCGCCCTGGGCTCCACAGGGCTGAGGCTGGGTCCACTTCCTCTGGAAGCTGCCACCGAAGCTCACAGAGAAGCCGAGACCCTGGCCGGCCTCTGGGAAGCAGTGGCTGCTCCTACTGTGCGCCTGCAGATTGCTCTCTTGACCTCCCAGGTGGGAATAATCCCCTGCTGCAGAGGATGAAAGGAGGGTCAGAGAGGAAACCCACAGGAGCTGCAAGTGGAGCAACAGAGACTTAACCTGAGCAGCCTCGCCTACCAACCTAGGTGAACAGGTAACTCTTTGGATTTCCAGTCACAGTGGAAGCGCCACAGGCGAGCCTGGGCCTCCCACATCTGTGCGCTCCTCCCCGCTGCCAAGTGCAAAGTGGTGTGAAAGTGTATCAGGAGCTGTCACTGACCCCAGAGTCTCACATAAAGTGGGGACAGTGACACCTCACTGGCTATGTTGGAGTAAAGGAGATAACCTAAGCCCTTGGCACATGGGCTCCAGGTGTTTCCTAAAGCAGGGACCTGGAGCCAGCAGCAAGGGGACCAGAGCTACATTTGAGCCAAGCATAGGGGAGAAGAGGGGGTGGGTCAGGCAGCTGAGGAGATGGGGCCTAGGTGAGGCTGCACAGCCTGCTGTGCTCGTGGAGTAAAGTCCAGTCAGGACTGTGGGAGTAGCAGAAAGGGCTCTCCCCACAGTGAATACCTTCGGGCTGGTGTGAGCCTTCACTCTCTCTCCCTCCTCAGTACGGAAGTGGAGGGCTCAGAACCATCCAGAATCACCGGAAGAAGCCGGGCGTGGTGACGCACCCCTGTAATCCCAGCACTCAGGAGGCTGAGGCAGGAGGAATACACAAGCTCAAGGCCAGCTTGGGCTACATAGCTAGTTCAAAACCACCTACCTGAACATAGCAAGAACCTGTCTCGAAAAACAAACAAAAGGCAATGCTGTCGATCTCTGAGGCACCTCAGTTCCTGTCTCTCCCACTATCTAGGTTACCATGACCTGGGCAAATCACTTGACTCTCTGTGCCTCAGTTTCCTCATCTGAAAATGGGGACAGTGATGCCCGCCCCTCAGAGAGGGAGTGAGTTCTCCCCAGGCATGTGGTCAGCCAACTCGCAAGGCTGTGTGGTGCCTGGGATGCCAGGCCTGGCTCCGTGGTAGAGGGGACAGCCTGTCCCCACCTCCACCAAAGTGGATCCTGCTGGTCCCAGCACGGCCTCCAGCCTCAGCGCCTCCTCATCGCTCCCCATGCACGGTGGGATTGATGGCAGCTGCAGGAGCTCTGCCCTCAGGGAGGGTGTCAGCCGGGGCATCCTGCTCACTGACCCTGAAGAGCTATTGTCTCTCCCTCACCCGAGCACGCTGAAGTCCCGTGGGGGGCGGCCCACCTCCCCACTCTCTTTCTGCCTTCTCCTACTCTGCACCTCATGCGCAGGACTCAGCTCAGAAGTCCTTCAAGGTCGCTTGTCAGTGTCAGAGGCCTCTGAGCCGTTGGTGGGGCCAAAATGATTTTCTCATGATGAGTGAGGAGCGACTGTATGCCGGTGCCCTCCGGTGCCGGTGCTCTCTGGAATGCCTATCTCAGCCCCAGTCCTAGCAGCTCTTGGACTGCAGGCCTCTGGGTGACCTGGGGCCCCTGGACACGCACGCCAGGGTCTAAGGACACTGAGGACACCTCACACCTTGCTACCCCCTACCCAGCCTCCCCATCGCTACCAGGGCAGCATCGGCCCAGCCCCTTCCTCCCACCGAGACTGGGAAAGGCTTCCAGAGCAGTCGCCCTGTCCCAGCGGTGCTTGGTGTCACCCAGGACGCAGGGAGAAGTCTCCTCTCTGGGGTTCAAGTACCCGTTTGTAATCCGTGCTGCCACACACGTGATCTCAATCACGTTGCTGCTTCCCCTGGCCCCCAAACCCCCTGAGATTTTTCCCTTCAGCTGGCTCCACGGACACATGTAGAGCCTTGTTGGAGTGTGACATGTTATGTAATGCACCAGATACCTCGGAAGGGCCCAGTGAGAATAACCTGCCTCATTATCCCTTAGAAATGGTCATTGAACCAGAAACTTGGATTTAGAAAGAGGAGAAAATTCCACTGTGTCTCTGGAAAGTGCTGGGGTAGCAAGGAGCCTTTCACACTAAGGTTGTCTGCTGGTCTCCACAGCTCCAGAGATAGTGGGATAAAGGCCTTCAGTCCCCATTCCCAGGCCCCCAAGAACACTGGCAGAACCTAGAGGCGCCGGAGTCCCTGCCCAGGACCTTACCTGTGTGCCTCGGGCCCCGCCTGGCCAAGAGTGCTGCTCTGTGGGCGTGCGGCAGCCGGCCTCGCCGACTGGCATCGGGAGCCTATTTTTAGGGTCAGATCTGCTGACGCTGACCTTGTGTGCTGTCCAGTCTGAGAGGAGACCTGTGGCATTTGCTTACAAAATGATTTGCTGGTGTCACCTGAAACCCCTGACTTAGGCAGCCCCATACCTGGGCCCCACAAGCCTGTCCCTGGACCAGCCACAGATGCAGGACATGTGGCCGCAGGGGCAGGAACAGATGGGAATTTCCCGGCTTTGTTTTCTTGAGATGGACAAGGCCAGGTGTCGTGTCTGCTGGCCCTGCCCTGAGCTCTGCCCCCAAATAGCTGGCGCAGGGTAGGTTTGTCTGCTGGTCAGCCGGTGGGAGGACAAGGGGCAGGCAGTGTGAAGAGCTCTCCGCTCCAGTCTTTTCTGAGGGTTTGTACAGCCATCCCCGCGCTGCGATGGAATGGATACCACTTGCACAGGGTGACTGTGAACCTGAGAGGGACCCCAGCTTGGGATGGTTTGCATGGCGCTGCTTCCTGTGAGAGCCGGTTCTCCTCAGTTCAGTGAGGGTGAAGGTGTGATGCTCTCCTCTCCTGCTGTCCTGAGGAGAAGTACAGAAGGTCTCAGCACAGCGCCAGGCACACGGTCAGCCTGTGAAATATGCTGTTTGGTTTATTAGTATGCCAAAAAAATCCCCAGCCCGATATTCCCAAGTCTCCTCGGCTCTGCCATTTTTCGCTGCGCAATTCCCCACTGATCCCTGCTAATGTAGCCCTCCTTTTTTAAAGCAGGATTCTAATAAAATTAGGGTTTCTATAGTTCCAGGTACTGAACAATGTGGTTTCACCTTTACGCACCTTTACCATCCCAATTTGGGCATTCCCACCCCCCTTTTTTGAGATAGGGTGTTGCTCAGTAACCCAGATTGGCCTTGGACTCATGATGACCCTCCTGCCTCAGCCTCCTGACTAGGACTATAGGCATGTACCACCATGCCCGGCTTCTTTTGGGGGCATATTTTAATGAGATTAAAATATGAGACATTCGGGGGAGTGATGGGCAGCAGTCTCCTGCACCCTTCAGCTAGCATAGCCTTTTCGTGTTGAGGGCGTTACATTGTCCTGTGCAACTTTGTTCACAAGTAAAAGACCTTGCTTATAGCCTTCAGGGTTAGCTGCCGCCTACGCCGGTTTTATTTGCAGTCCTTATTTATACTAGTGCCGTTCGTTGGGAAACTGCTAAATAACTTAGCTTTTATTGATTTCTTGATACGAAGAATATTCACAAGGGAAAGACAGAGCCTGAGCCTACAGTGAATTCGAAACATCAGGGCCCCGATGTCCTTGCTGTCAAGCGCTGGGGTCAGAGCAACAGGGTCAAAGGCCCTTCTGCGGTCCCCCTCGGAACTAGATCGGAGGTGCTGGTGTCGACAGTCCAGGGTGAGAGTTCTTCCTAGCAGGAGCCCAAGGGGGGCCCCAGCCCAAGTCAGGGGCTGAGGAGCAAGAGGGGCCCCGAAAGTGTGGTGTCCGCAGAGGGGGAGACAAAGATCTGACAAGGGGCTGGCAGGACAGGAGATGGATTTCGCACCATCCAGGAGGACATTTAAATGACCAAAGCCAACAGAAGAATCTGGGGGCTGCTGAGCCATTGCCTGCATTACAGGGACCCACGACTAGCCTCTGGATGTGGTTGGCCAGGAGGGCTCCTGGGTGGAGAAGGTGGGGCCGCCCTACTTCCATGGGGATCTTGCGGGAGCCCTGGGAAGACCACACTGGCGGTGTTGGTGGGATGCCTGTGTCTTCCAGTGGCTGCAGGGTGGCCCCTGGGGAACGACTGCACTCCCTGCTCTCCCCAAGGGCAGATCTGCCTCCTGTGGGTGACAGCAAGCCAGGTTGGACTCTGTTGTGCTGTTCCCAACTCCAGGGCCTCCCCAGGATCACATGGGCCGGGAGCTCCACTCGTGCAGGGAATGTGATTGCCGGCCACTGTCGCTGCCGTGGAGCTTCTAGGAGCTTCCCAAGAGCCGTGCGGACATAGGCGCCACCCGTGTGATTCTCTTTAGGGCAATCTCTGTCACCCTCTTTCTCCATCTCCAGAGACTGCTAGACACTGCACTCTGTCCCAACTCCCATGGGTTAGAATCCCCCACTTTTTTTTTTGAGACTGTCTTGCTTTGTAGTCCAGGTGGATCTTGAATTTATGTAGCCCAAGCTGGCCTCAAATTCACAGGAATCCTCCTGCCTCAGCCTCCTGATTGCTGAGATTACAGGTGTGTACCACCACCACCAGCTGGAAGTCCTGGGTTTAATCATTAGCACCGCAAAATACCAAAACAAAGCAAAAGAAACCAGGGCCTGTGTTCTGCGGACTGCTGGAGGCCTCCCCAGCACCTCGGACTGTTTGCCCAGAGAGAGGACTGGGTAGGGAGGCTGTCACCCCTCCTGTGTCAGGACACCTAGCCTTCCTGCCCCTCCACCCCATTGTCACTCTCTGGCCTCCTGCCACCTCCAAGCTTGACACCATCCCATCCCCTTCTTACATAGCACCACTCACCCAAGGCGACAGCCTCGGGTGGGGAGGACCGCAGCACAGCAGGAGACAGCTCTGGCTTCAGTCTCTGAGATTGTTGGCTGAGCCCCTCCCTTTCCTGAGAATTTCTCCCTGGGGGGACTGGGAGACTGTGTTCCGGTAGGTTCTGGGCGGATGGAGCTGCAGCGTGGTCTGTTGGACAGTTCCTGGCAGTAACACGCCTGTGAGTAGGGCCTGGTGTAAGGGAGTGGCTGCTGTTCTCACAGTTGCTTTTCTTTTGGTACCGGGGATTAAATTTGGGTCCTTGCACTTGTGAGGCAGGTGATGGAGCCACTGAGCTAAATCCCTGGCCCTTACAGTTACATTTTAGAATGTATTTTAATTTGGTGGGGGTTTTTTTGTTTGTTTGTTTTTTTGAGATAGGGTCTCACTATGTAGTTGAGACTGACCTGGAACTCACTGTGTAGACCAGGCTGGTCTTGAGCTCACAGCGATCCTCCTGCCTCAGCCTCCCAAGTGCTGGGATTACAGGCGTGTGCCACCACGCCTGGCTCTAGAATGTATTTTTAAAAAATTATTTTTCCTCATTGAGTTTAGTGGTACATTTTAGGTGTACAGTACAGTTACATTCATTATTGGGATCTTGTACCTTTACATTGCAGGTTTTGGTTCTCATTTTTTCCCCTTGTCCCTGCCCTCCCTTCACCCCCTCCTCCCTTCCCCCTTTACAAACACTTCATTTCCATTTTTTCATTTTCTCATATTAGAATGTATTTTAAAGATTGAAATATTTTCCAAAACAGGAATTAAGATTTTCAGGTTCATTTAGGTCATTTTGATTTTAAACTTTGATATCCAGTTTTTATATATTTTTTAAAGTTTTTTGAGACAGTGTCTTGCTGTGTAGCCCAGGCTGGCCTCGAACTTGTGGTGGTCCTCATGACTCAGCTTCCCACCATGTCCCTAGTGCTGCACGACAGCAAGCACTTCTCATATGGAGAGTGACATTATTCCAAAATGCTGTGCATATTTTACTTCCAGGATAGGCATTAGCCAATCCATGGTATTTAGTTCATTTTAGTTTTGTTTTACACTTGATCTTAGCCAAAAGGCCGAGAAGCGATGTTTTGTCTTGTTTTAATGGTGAAAATAATGTGTAAATAATGTGTATTTAGAATTAGCCAGCTAGACTCAGTTTAGATGATCCCAATTTTGTTGGCAACATCCAAAGCATCATTACCAGGAGCCAGTCAAACATACACCTTCTTTTCTGCAGCAGGTCTGACTGGGGTATTGACCTTGGCCATGGCAACGTCACAGAGCTCCTTCACAGCTCGTTTGATTTGGCGCCTGCTGGCCTCGCCGCCCACAGTGAACACGGGTGTGTTGTTGCCCTCTGTCTTCTGCACGGCTGACTCTGGTTGGGGGAACTTGATGATGGCACAGTGGTCAAGCTTGTTTCTCCTGGGGCTGCTCTCCCGGGGGTATTTGGGCCACCAGAGCCGCCCGGTCTTGGGACTGTGGAAGGTGGGTGAAGTGCAGATCTTCTTTTTGTGGCTGTGGATGCCTCTCAGCACTGCTTTCTTGGCTTTCACAGCTTTTACTTTGGCTTCAGCTTTGGGAGGGGCAGGAGCTTCCCCCTTCTCCTTCGGCACCATCTTGGTAAAAAGTCCATGGTATTTGTTTGGTTGGTTTTATTTTTTTGAGACAGGGTTTCACTATGTAGTTCAGGGTGTCCTTGAAATTACTATGTAGCCCAGGCTGGCCTTCACCTCAAAGTGATCCTCCTGCCTCAGCCTCCTGAGTGCTAGAATCACAGGTGTGCCCCACCACGCCTTCCCGTCCAACCCACGGTAGTTGGTCATGAGAGGTAGCCTGAATCAATTCCAGTTAAATTTAAGGGGCTTTGGGCTAGGGGTGGAGCTCAGGGGTGGAGCACTTCCCCCCCTGTGCAAGGCCCTGGGTTCCAGCTCCAGCATCGCAAAACATAAAAATAAAAATTCGAGGGGCTTTGTCTGGAAGGGGAGAAAGCTGACCTTGAAGCCGGAGTTGACTCCCATCCACGGCACAGCGGATCTGTTTTGGTCAGGAATGAACAGCAAACAGAATTCACCGCCAAGGGTCTGTTTGTGGGGGGCGAGCAGGCCGTGGGAGCAAACGGGAGGCTGAGCGCCATGGTGCCAGCGACTGTGTCCCCACAGGTGAGAACAGCACCTCGGGGTACTGAGCAGCGAGGCCAAGTCACCCCATTGTCCCCAGTGCCTACCTCTGTACAGGGAGAGTGACAGTAGGGACAAACAACTGCTGTCCTTTATGCCACGGCAGCTGGTGTCTGTGTGACAGCAGAGAAGCTTCCAGAGCCTGCGCGGCTGGAGAAGGATGAACAGTGGGCGAGGCAGCACGGAGGACGGCTCAGCTCCCGAACATCTTTGTAGGCTACGGCAGAATTTGGGTTTCCAGCTACCCAGGAGGTGAAACAGGAGGATCATGGTTCAAGGCCAGCCTGGCTCCATGGACAGACTGTCTCTCTGTCTGCCTGCCTGCCTATCTATCTGTTCATATTTATTTTCTTGTGAAATCCTGTCATAAGAAAAGAAAATTCTGGACATGGTGATGCGTGCTTGTAATCTCTACATTCTGGGAGGCTGAAGCAGGAGAATTGCAAGTTCAAGCCCAGTGCAACACAAACCTGTCTCAAAATGATGAATAAATAAGTGGATAAATAAGTAAATAGGCTAGGAAAAATTGTGGCTCAATGCAGAGGTTCTGGCTTCGATCCCCAATACCACCCCCCCACACACACACACACGAACACAAAAGAGTTCAGATTTTATTCTAGGGAAGATGTTCCACAGCCTGATTTGTATTTTATAGAGAACAGTCTGACTGACGGACGGAGAGTGAAGATGGCGAACCAGAGGCAAGGCCTGCAGAGGGGTATGGCGGGTGTGCTGCGGCCTTTGTCAGGGCAGGTCGTGGGAAGCAGGTCAGATTCTGCTTGCGTTTGGATGGTAGAGTGGACGTGAATTCGACTAGGAGGGGTTCGTGTGTTCCAGAAAGAGCGAGATTATCACATAAAGTACTGAACCCACGCCCCCGTGCTGTTGTTCTAATAAAGTTCTCTGACTCTGGGCCCCCACAGGCTGCGTGGGCCAGGCTGGGAAAGCGGCTCCCCGCTGTGTTGGCCTTGGACATGGTCTCGCCCCTGTCCACCTGCCAGGCTCAGGAAAGAGGTGGCAGTGAGTGCAGCCCAGGGCCCCAGGAGGTGCTGGCGGCTGCAGCCCCTCAGGCAGTGATTCAGTGAAGCCTCGGTCAGAACCCGCTCGCTCTGCCCATCTCTGTAGGGCAGACAGTGACCAAACCCCTGGTACAGCCCAGGAAGTGTCGTGGAAACGGAGGGAAAGCACCCGCCGGAGGTGCTGCGCTGCTGTCCTGCTGTCCGGCTGTTCTTTGCACTGGGTGTACAAGGAAAGTGAGCTGTCTATTTTATTTATTTACTTATTTATTTTTGAGGTGCTAGGCCTTGAACCCAGGGCCTTTACACTGCATTCCATCTTCAGCCTTTCTCTGTATTTTGTTTTGAGACAGGGTCTCTCCAGGCTGGTTCAAGGTGATCCACCTGCCTCAGCCTCCTGAGTGCTGGGGTTACAGGCATGTGCTACCACATCCAGCTCTGCGTAGAATTTTTATTTATTTACTTATTTATTTTTGAGGTGCTAGGCCTTGAACCCAGGGCCTTTACACTGCATTCCATCTTCAGCCTTTCTCTGTATTTTGTTTTGAGACAGGGTCTCTCCAGGCTGGTTCAAGGTGATCCACCTGCCTCAGCCTCCTGAGTGCTGGGGTTACAGGCATGTGCTACCACATCCAGCTCTGCGTAGAATTTTATAATTCTGCCTCTTGGTTGGACAAGCTCAGGGAGGCTTTAGAAAGAGGGAGGTGGCCTGCTCTTGCGGTGGGCTGTTCCCAGGTCCTCAGAGGGGCCCTTGGGTCCCAGGGAGAGGGATTCAACGGAGGAGCGGATTTTGACTTCCCGCACTCCCTCGCCAGTTGCCCAGCAGGCTTCCCTGGGGTGTGGTACCCTCCTCCTGCTGTGGAAGCAACTGCTTACCTAGAACTTTTAGGCAGACACACTCCTGATTTTTCCCATAAACCTGCTCCAGGGGTGTGTGTGTGTGTGTGTGTGTGTGCGCTCGCGTGTGTATGTGTGTTCAGATACTTGTGTGCCCCGGCCGGGCTACACCAGAGTTCACGTGGAACAAGGGAAGAGGATTTTGTGTGAGACATTTAACTTCTGTCCTCATCTCTAGATTAAGGACGGGAATCAAAACCGACCCAGCGTCTGTCTGTGCCTGCGGGGACTTTGTGAGAAAGCAGAAATACTAGTAGTTGGAGTTGGGTCTGGGGGAGAGCGTGTTCATCACTGCGGCCTAGAGTCCTGCCCCGAGACAGAGACAGCCGTGTACATACTGCTTGGCGAAAGCTTGTAAGTCATATGCGTGTACTTAAAGGAAACCAAAAGCAAAGCCAGCTGAAGGCCACACCTCTTGTGTCCATTGCTGTCCTGAAAAGCGATGGCCAGAGATTCCGTCTGTCCTGGGGCCCATGTGGCTTTCCTGACCACTCCCAAGTAGGGTGGGTGGAGGCATAGATCTACCTCCCCATCCTGCCTGTCCCATCAGGAAAGAAACTCAAGCTATTACTGGGCACTTATGTAACACCTCTTGTCCATTGCTGTCCTGAAAAGCGATGGCCAGAGATTCCGTCTGTCCTGGGGCCCATGTGGCTTTCCTGACCACTCCCAAGTAGGGTGGGTGGAGGCATAGATCTACCTCCCCATCCTGCCTGTCCCATCAGAGG